GTACAAGGTGTCCTTAGCAGTCAGTGAGCTCTGAAGTCTATTGATATAAGGTATCAAACCTACTGGTGAACCGGCATGCCCAGGTGGTTAAGGCATTAGACTCGCAATCTGAGAGTCGCGGGTTCGATTCCCTCTCATTATCACTATTCGTTGGTAAAAGAGTAGCCCAAGAGTTGGCAGCTAGTCATCACCACCCACCGCCAACTCTTGGGTTACTCTTTTACCAACGAATAGTCGAGCTCCCTAACCACCTGGCCATGCCGGGCCTACAAACAAGGAACACGATTTTGTCGTAAAGCGTGTTTTAAGGTGTTCTTTTGTGTTATTCAAATGTTTCTCTTAGTCTGTATTGAGCTATAGCTTTAAGTGTTTTTAGATTATTGATTTAAATTAATATCCGTTTCGCGTGTGAGCCAACTTTCATGTTATTCATTTGTTACTATAAACGTTTAACTCCTTAAGATCAACTTATATTAGAGGGGTGTCCACAAATCACGTCAACAAATTTACAACACAGGTAAAAAAAAAGGATTGACCGTCACATTATAATGCTCCCACGGCTGAAAGGGCGAGCATGTTTGTGGGATTCGAACCCACGACCCGCAGATTGTGAGTCGAGCGCCCTAACCACCTGCCATGCCAGGCCGTCTCAGATTTGAGATTAGAAATATTGGAGACTAAGTGATATAGCATCTACAGTAAATTGTGTCATACAGCATCTAGAATTAGCCCTGTCAAACAGTGTTGTGATACAGCACCTACGATAAATCTTGTCAAGCACTAGTTTGATACGGCACCTACTGTTAAACCTGTCAAACACCAATATGATACAACATTTACAGTCAATCTCGTGAAACAGTGGTGTGATATAACACTTACAGTTCACCTTGCCAAACAGCGGTGGGACACAGTGTCTACAGTCCATCCCATCAAACAGATGAATTTGATGTAAGTTTTATTTAAAAACATGATTTTAACAATGTCCACTTTTAGGCTATGTCCAAAATACAAATATGTTGCATGTACTTTACCCCTTGTCAAACAAATGAATTTGATATGAGTGCTGGGTTTTTAAAAACATGATTTGAACAATACCAACTTTTAGGCTATGCTCACAATACACGGATTTGAAGTGAACTTTATATCTTGCCATTCTATTCTATAGTTGATCTGATCCAGGCAATGTTCTTAATATACCAAACGCTAAGATAAAGTAATGGTTTGTCACTAGTTTAGAATATGAAGATTTTAGAAATATTCTGTTTTGGCTAACCAAATATATATATATATATATATTTGAATACTTCTCTTGACTCGGTTGTTTTGTTGCACTCGCATTTCTTAGCTTTGAAATATATTTGAAAATTACCATTATTTTGACAATAAAGTGTAAACCATAAAGATATTTATGGTGTTTTAATCTTTTGTCTTTATCATGAAACATAAAAGTTTTCTAGGTGACATTTCTAAGAAGATCTTTTGAATAATGGCATTATTGCTAGCAACCTTCAACAAATAAAGGTGAAATGGGCAGCAACTGTCTAGTTCATTGACACTTACAAAAGTCTTGGAGGACCATTTTACAAAAGTAACTCAGGTAGAATGGACATTTCAAAAGCCTTCCATCTTTTGTCTTCAAATCATATTGCACTGTTTTTTGCAGGGATTTATATGGTGTCTGTATGAAGTGGTTTTTGTATCGTGGTTGATGAAACAAGTGATGATTTGACCAACGGTAACCACATACTGTTGCTTTCCAGGCACGAGTATCCATTTAGTAAATGTTTCGTTGTATTGATATAGGAAGATTCTTTGATTTTCCTTGTTTCTAAGTCCATGTATCTGTACTTGTTCCAATCTATTTTATGTTTAATTAACATGACGTGTTCCCTCAGGACAAAATTCTGTTTTCATCAGTTTTTATGTTCTTTTATTCATGTCCCAAAGTGTCTTCCATTATCTACCGTGTAGTTCTGTTTACAGTAACATGGTATTTCTAAAATGACGTTTTTATGTTTCTTGTCAATTGCTGGTTTAGTTTGACGATGATAGATCTGAAGGTTCTATAAAATTTCCAGCAGACATCATTGTTGAACATTTCTTGGCTACATATTTGATCTTTTCACTTTGGTTTTGCACATAAGGGACGTAAACTGTTGGACTTGATTTCCTTGTTTATTGCATCAGTTTGTATATTTATGTTTTTCAAGCTACTGGTGATGAAACTAGAGGGGTACCTGTTCTCTTTAAAACACTGTACGGGTTTCGGCATTTGGTTTTGATGGAGTTTTCGTTGCAGTTTTAGCGACCTTATCTTCTCTTTCCACAAAAGTAAATTACACTGCAATATTAACTCATAACTAGGTGAATATAAATATATATTAATCATTAATGTAAAATTTGCAGAATGTCCGTTTCATTACTGAAATTCAACCTTTCTTAAAACTATCCTAAAAGCAGTAAAAATATTGTAATGTGTTTGTCAAATAAAATCAATCAGCAGCTGGGTAACCATATTAAAATTATGAAGTGTCAACTATTTGTAAAACTTGGTTTATGTTTTAGACATTGTCCCATAGTATCCATAAACTCCAATGTTTGGAAAATTTATACAAGAATTTTAGATAAAGACTTCAGAATTCTTATTCACTTAGTCAGTTACTTAAATAGAAGTGTCAATACTAAGATCTTTTCCTTTCTGTTATAAAATATATTGTATTCTACAGTCAATAAAGTCATTATGCTACTGGATTTAATGTTAGTTTCTTTGTTTCAGGAAATTTTGACACTGTTTTTATTATCGGTAACAAGGATTACTTTGTAAGTTTCAGTGTTTACGTTCTGGTGAATATGATTTGCTACAGTTAAACATTCACTTTCCCATCAAGCATTGTTAAGAGATTAATAAGTTGTATTATATCACATGACTGTGGTGAAGAAAAATTCAAGATTTGAACCTCACTAAACTTGATAAGCAGCAACTAACACAGTAATGATGAGAAAAAGTTTTATAGTCAGTTCTCTGATGAAAGGTCAACACAAAAAGATAACAATCATTTAGCAATTTTGCTAGGATACTTATACACTACATTGAATATGCTGATAAGTGAGTCAATATGCTCTCAGATTTGAAATTATTCCTATGTTCTAACTTTGGTGTAATTTTTAGTTACATAGACCTACTATTTTTTTAAACACATAGTCTTGATACTCCTCTGGACTACATTTTTTCCATTGACCTATTATTTTTTCTACCCAGTCGCGACATTCTTCTGCCCAGCATTCTGAACTTTGACCTATTACTTTTATCAACTCCTAGTCTCAACACTCCTCTGGACAGCATCCCTTCCTATTAGCCTATTATCATTTTTTCTATCCTCAGTCTCTATATTATTCTAAACGTTACTTCCATTGATCTCGGTGGTCTGATGCAAAATGATGCAGCTCATCATTTGTAATATTTCATACTAGATTAATTTGATGTGATTATCACAAACTGAAGCATTTAAACAATTTTACAAACAAAATTTCTGAGCTAAAAAAATGTCATTAGACATCAGGTTTAGATGAGGTGTTAGATTATACACTTAAACAGTTGTGTATACCTAACAATAAGCCCTCTTTAAATAAAATAGTTTTTGTTTGGTATATACAAAGACTATTTTCAGTTTATGCAGAAAATCTACTCATACAGTTTGCACCAACATTTGCAGTTCCCTTGATGGCTTCAATGCAGAACTGGTAATTCTGGAGGTACAACAGCCATTTCATTATCCTTGCACTGCTGATTTTCACCTCTGGATGTATGCAAGGGGTTAATGGTCCATCTGGATGATGAACTCTTTCCTGTAGATGTAGTTCTGGAATTTCTGGATAGCAAATCTGATGGCCAGACATTCACATTCAATCACAGAGTAGTTCTCCTTCTTCAACAGCTTTTTACTGATGTACATTATGGGAAACGGTCCATTACAAGTTCTTGCAGAAGTATTGCTCTAATTCGAGTGTTTGATGTATTGGCCTGAACAATGAATGGTTTGTTAAAGTCACAACAATTAAACTACGCAATGTATGATTCGTACACAGTTATGTAAACAAACCTACGATAAACTATCACTTCTAAAAAATAACTAAATTTAACACTAGTGCTATATTTAACCTATATCAATCATAATATTCACATTAACAGTCATTTAATGCAAGTGTTATGATTCAGATGGGTTAAGTATAGTACTAGTGTTAAATTTAGTTTCTGGAAGCATTAGTTTATCACAGGTTTGTTTATGTAATTTTGTATAAATCATACATTGTGTAGTTCAATTGTGCGAATTGGCATTTGTTACTAAAACCGTCTAAGCTTTTCTCATTGTTTTGATTGAGTCTTATTGCATCATAATATCTCGTAGTGTGTAAAACGTTCTAGGCCTCTGTCATTCTATAAATATACATAACTTACTTACTTAGTTAGATAAATAGTTAGATATAGACTGTGTGATTATGAGTTTAGCCATAAAGAGTGTATTATGGCATTTTTTTAAATGTGAAATTATAACAGATTTGATGAAAAGAGAATTATTTAAAGCTCTGAATATAACTGTGGTAACCAACAGTGTAATGTAAGTGAAATTATCACAGATTGTATTGTAACAACAGAGCAGGAAGAATAATTCGTCTTGTCAAATTGTATTCTATCTGAATCAGCCTGTTTGGAAGTTGATGAAAAAGAAACAATTACTTAAAGCTCTGGATACAACTATGATAACCTTGAGTGTAACAAAAATTTGTATATACATTTGACTTGTTTTAGCATATTATTTTAAAACAAGTGGATTGTGTGCTGTTTGTTTGTCATTGAAATTCATCACCAACAAATCACAGACACCTACTGTAAAAGAATCCAGCCCACAAATAAAAACCTGACATGAGGGCCAAGGTGTATGTAAGTATTGGAAAATGTGTGAACTTACTTAATACTCAGATTTGAATATTTATCATAAATCTTTATTTAATATACATTTTGGAATGTCTGATGACAATTTTTTAATAAAAACAAAGCATCACAGCTAAATACTGTAAATGTACAGATTACTAAAACCACAGAATTTGACATTAGATACAAAAATCAAAACATGTTTGGCTCATTTGTTTGCATAAAATATATATATCTAGTATAATATAGATAGATAATAGCATCATGCAGTATCTAATATTTAAAGTTTCACATTTTGAACATCATTTAAAAGTATATTAGTTACTACCATATCTCGAGGTATAAACTGTTTTTAAAAATCTTATGAAAATAAAGTAATAAAATATAGTAATAATTGTAGAAAGTCACAGAAGTCTTATTTCATCAATTCTATAATAAAACTGGTAAAATTATAATAATGCCTTCGTTACAAGTCTTCCTAGGTGCAATCATGAGAAATGAAAAAAAGATTTAAAATAAATTTATTATTAGTGTGACAAGTATATGAAAAGTGACAGATTAATATCAAACATTTATGTTGAAACCTAAGTTACTGGGCTTACATTTAATTTAGGTCATTAATAAATTAATACAACAGAATAGAAATTACTACCAAGTCTTTAGTTCATCCAGCACTACTATTAGATGAGGATTTCCTCCAAGTCTTTCAACTTCTACTCTTGCTCTAAAATTTGAAAATAGTTTAGTTAGTTTATTACAAAAAGTACTAATGCAATCATACACTGTCGTGTCAGCAAGAAGAAACAGATCTTAGAAAATATTAAACAACGTCCATGTTAAATATTTTACATTTTTATTTACTTACTATGTTAAAGCACATTAACAAGTAGAGAGAGATACTTTAAAATTACAGCTATCAATGATAATGTTGGTTACACTTAATGCATGTGTAATCAGCTTTGTTTAAACACTGGCTTTGATTCTGTTTATAGTCAAATAACATGTTCCATTATTTATTTTTACTTTAGGTATATATTTTAATGCAAAAGTTTCTTGTGTATACACCTAATCTCATGTAATGATTTGGTTATTGTAATATCATTTTTTCCCAATATACATAATTTTCTGTTAGATAGTTTAGGCAGAGTATTCATACCGAGTTGAATGTGAAATGGAATAACATTGATATGCTGCTCCAACATACAACTCAATAGAAACAAGCACTTCAATAAAATCACGCAGGCAGATGAAAGGAGCCAGACAAAGGTATAGGAGAGAAAAGGGAGGCAAAAGCACTAGAATAACAATGGCATCACACCCCAACATACTCTAGCAATAGATCAATTAAATATGAAGTTATAAGGCCAAGAAAGATAAACATGCTACTGTATAGAAGATAAGTGAACAAGCAGTGCCAAAAAACCCCTCAAGAGAATGGTGGATTACAATGGAAAAAAAGGTGAATGAAGGAAAAATAACAGAAAAGATGAAGGTGGGAGAGCTTAAGCCTATGAAAGGGAAACAAAAGGCAAAGGATCTGACTCCCAAGTCTGAAGAAAAGGCTCCAGAGTGTAGGAGTTGGAAAAAGACAATACAGCACAAAGGAATGCTTAGTCATATGAGGTAACAGAGGAAGGAGGATGAGACATGCATGCACCAACGTAGTGGTAAAAGTAATTGAATATGGACTTGCATATCTGGACAGGAAGTAAAAAAGATAAAAGGAAGAAGCAGGTAACAAAATACAAAATGAAGGAAAGAAACACACCTAAGAAACGCAGTCCCAAAATTACAAAAAAAGGCTTAGGTAGATTCAAGACAGCATGGGTAAAAGATTAGGCGAAAGTAGGTGGTGGGAAAAATCTGGCAAAATTTCTTCCATTATGAACAAGAAACATAGGCACAGCATAAAATTGTACATATAGAAGGCAGCACAAAATCAAGGAAAGCTAATATGTGAGTGGAAGTAAGATATTGTATCAGAAGTCCAACCATTTGCAAGTTATTAATCTCCTGTCTTCTCTACCAAAAACCTAGAACTTGCAATAATAAATATGTTTCTTCAGAAAAAACACACCTCAAAATAACTTTTTAAACCAATAATATCCTAAAAATAACAAAACTATATCTACTTGCATATATTTCCAAAGAAACCAAAAACTTGCATGGATTTCTCTCCCATTTCTATGCTGTTTGAAAGACTTGTAAGAAATATTAAATTTAATTCCAGTAAAACTTTCCACTATCCCTTTACTCAAGTAAACCAATCAACAAAATATATTGAAAACCATAGAAGTACAAATTTTGAATACGTAAATCAGCAAGTCACATGACAACCACAGAAGTTATAGAGCTATAGCTGAACAAAATGTACGAAAACTATGTTTTGACATTTTTTTGAGCTTCATATGTACAGTAATGTTCCTAAACATTTATAGCTTTTGAAAAAAGTATATAACAACCCTTATAATCTATTGTTTACAAGCTATTATGATACTCTCTTGGCTTACATCTAATCTACTGTTTACAAACGATTATGATACTTACTCTCGATCAAGTTCTTCTAATGTTTTTCTTGTGTATTCAAAGGAACCAAACTTTTCCATGAGATCCACTGAATACTTTTTAATCTCTACATCTCGAGTTCTTTGACGTATAATATCTAAAGGAGTCAAGGATAACTATCCAAACATGATGTTTTACTTACATTTTAATGTGATACTAACTGGTAGGTGATGACAGTATAGTAAACTTCAACAATTACCTGTGAATAGGTTAGTATAAAGCAAGAAAACTAGAACTTATAACAATTACAAAAAACAAAATAATGAAAACAGTCTCACAAGAGAATGAGAAGTGAAAACTCTTGTGGGTGATTATTTTTTAAGTTATTTTAAAAGGATACTAATCATTTGAGGGTCTTCAGGATGGGAGCGAATGGCATGAATTATTGGATACGAAAACTTTCCCTCCGTGAGATCTTCACAATAGCTTTTGTTATCAGTGTACTGGAAAAAAAAGTCAGACATTTTGCACAGATATATATCTTTGTCCATAACTATAAACATTTCAAGAATGCATGAGTCATTTCCTAATTCTGGTTCCAAGCAGCACAACTTAATTTTGGTTTCCTTAGTTTTTCAAAAATATGTTAAGGTGAAATTTAAGGAGCTTTAGTGATTTTTTTCATGACATACACTACTGAAAATAATTATGGAAATGGCCATTCATTGTGTGAAAATGAACTTGACCAGAGTCATATGTTGATAGTTTACACTGTTAATGATTGTCATCCAATCAATCAGAGTGCCACATCAGTACAAAGCCTATAATAGTACAGGCAGTCATACTATGCCCAGAAGTAATAATGTTAAATACAGCATTAAGGTCTTGCCAATAACCTTGCTGCAAATATATATGTAAATGTCACCTCATGAGAACATTGAGATACACATTAGCACAAAGTCATCTTAATGGATGCTTGAAAGAGATAACCAATCCAAATGAATGCCAGACCATAAACAGTGGAATGAGCATAGCTGCATCTCAGCCAATGGTGTCAGTGAACTAAACAAAAATGAATGTGACAAGTAAAGGCAGATTCTAATCCATCATGCTGTTCCATTAGGAATACAACTCATTGGTTTGGGACTCATCTTCTAGTTCGACAATGATCCCAAGCATACAGCAGATGTAGTGGAGTGATGTATTTATGGTAGAGGCCAATGGAACATTCAAAACCATGTTTTTTCATGCACAAGGTCCATATATGAGCTTGTTTGTTTGAAGTTAACCCCATTGCCCCAGGTATCCTATACTGAGCATGACACAAGGTTTTAGTGTCTTACATTCAAAATTTTATTATACTACTTTTTGTTTATGTTATACCAATTAAAATAGTGCTAAAATCTTAGCTAATAGTTCATATTTTACTAGTATACAAGTTTTAAGGTACTTGATGATGACAAAACGTTGTACATTTGCTGTTATGTTAAACTTATATCAAAGTTTTTCTTCATTACCCATTCAAGCAGTCTCCAAGCACATTTAGAAGAATATTCCACAATCATACACTGATAAACTGATGAAAGCAACAAAAACTTTGTTTGTAGTTAAGCACAAATCTACAAAATTGAATATTTGTGGTTTGCCCACCATAAGTATCAAAACCCAGTGTTTAGCATTATAAGCCTTCAGACTTACTGCTGTGCCACAGGGGACAGAAAGAAAACAAGATGTACAAAATTCTAGTGCATTTTACAACTTATTCAATGTTTTCTGTAATAATGCTTTGTATAAATTAATCATATAGTTTCCACTACTCAATGTTTCTCACTTTTATATGTGTATCTTGTCTGTTTCCATAATTATTTCCTTTAGTGTATCACAAACCATTTATTTAACCTTTCACATTTTAAAATATTGCATGATCATTTTGTACATTTCTCTGAGAAAACTCTGTGAAACTTCCAACAATTTTATATAGAATACACTAGTCTATTAATTACACTCATAAATACATTTTCTGTGACATTAAAAGCCTACTTATGAAACAAAATTTAATATCAATTTCTTACAGTAAAATAAAACAAGTACTTGTAAAAATTTCTTTTATTAAATGTTTGTAAGATTTGCCCTAAAAACTTGTTAAATTATTAAAATGTTTCTTCAAGATTAAGTAATTTTTTGATGTGAAATATCAGTTGATACTGTATAAAACCAACAATGTAGCAGGAGTTGTAAAGCAACTGCACTATGCATTAAATTAAAATATTTTATCGCAAAAATTCCTTTTGAATTGCTATAAAATTTAAAATTATGAAACTCCTTGAAAGTTAATATCTCCCTATTTCCGATAGATACTTACCAGCTATTCTCAGTTTGACTGCCCTCTAAGTGTGCAAATTTTCGCTTGCCACTAGCTTTGAAACTCCCACCTAGTTCCATGTAGTTCAATTGCATTTAAGCATGCAAATTAGCATGCGACAGTCCACCACCATTAGGAGTGCAACAAACCCTCATGTAACAGCTGACTCCCTCTATGCAGTTGAACCCAATCTTCACTTCTTGATTAGGCAAGAAAAATGACCCCAGACATGTTAAGTATCTATTGGAAATATATTTTCAGCGTAGGAAAATATTAACATCTGATACAATTACTTACCTCCTCTCACAGTTACAGATAAAATCCAACATTGAGCAGGTGGAGAGACCTGTGTAAAATTCCCTAGACGAGTACTCTTGAAAAACATCTGAAGAGCACCCATGGAAAGGAAACACACTAGTGGGAGACTGCACTACATCTGAATCAGGTATACTCTTCACCCATATGGAGCCAACAGGTGTGGTGTTGCAATCAAAGGGCAGAACAAGGTAACAATTCCAAATCCCTAAGGAAAAGGAATGTGAATAGAGTGGCTAAAGTGCACCAGACCATAAGCGGGAGGTCAATTCCAGTCCAGAACAGTGGCACCAGAAGGAATTCATTCAGTCCATGGTAGGAGAAGGGCTCTCTACCATTCATCTCAGGTTTAGGAACCAGAAGGAAAGAGAAGCCTCTATTCTGAGAACATAAACCATCATGTGCACAAATCCAACACAAACTGCACTAAGAAACCCTGGGAATGTACATCTGGACAATGTCAGGAAGTTGGAAATGCAATGTGGAGAGTCAATTCCAGTCCAAAACCAATCGGTATTGGGTATGTAACATCCAGTCCATGGTAGGAGGAAGTTCCCAGCCTACTCACTTGTGAGGACTTATGTTGGCTAGTCCAGCTTCAACCAAAATCAGTTGCCCAGGATCCAACATCCAGGCTGCAGTAGGAGGAAGGGTTTCCAGCCAAAGGGGCAAACTGCAAAATAGATGTAAAAATCCCATCCAGACCAGCAGCATCTGGAATAAAACATCAGATCCCAGACAGGAGGATAATCATGCCTTCTACACAGGCAGAACACTACCACCCTACTCTCAAATGAGTGGAATTGTGCACACTCAGGAGGATTCCTCCATGATCCACCACAACAGTGGCTAGGAGCTGGTAACTGGTAAGGACTCCTGTATTCCACTGGAAATGTGTTAGAGAGTCCAGAGAACAGCATCAGCAGAGAAAATGCAATGGGTGATCACAAAAACCTATTTTAAAAAGCAAACCATTCTTTATTCTGGCAATCTTAGGAAAGTTAGAGATGGGCAGCAATCTCTTTCTCCTTTATTCATGTTAGTCCATGAGTGTACAGTCTGGTACAAACATATTTATTACTAGCTGGAGATGACGAAAGTTATATAAATTCATGATTAATGAAAGGTTATCATAGGATATGAAAAGTTGCTTCCCTTATATGTAATTGTAAAATACCCAAAAATGCAAAAAAAAAAACTGCAAAACATCAAATGTGAAACCACAAGCTGGCAAGTATTTTTGCAATGGACCCAACAAACCATCATGCCAAATTTGGTGAAGATCCATCAACAGGGGGTGAAGTAGTGGTAAAAAATGCCCATAAAATCTGCAAAATGTAAAACTGAAAACTTATATGTATCCCACATGGACCTACTGAATGTCTGTACCAATTTTGTTGAAGATCCATCCACACCCTGTGAAGTAGTTAAATGAACATACAAC